CCTTTGGGTTAGGCACATGGCCCATGCCCCTACTTTGGGTCTTTGAGGTTCTTTCAGCTTGTGCTTCTGTTTGGTGGATGATTGATGTTTGATTTCTACGAGGTAGTTTTTTGTGACTCTGAGCCAGCATTGCTCTAACTTAATCCTACAACAACCCTGACAAATAAGTACTATCTCACTTTTGAGATGAGGAAATTGAAGCACAGAAATACTAATAAAGATGTCTAGAGTGAATTCTGTGAACTACAAATGCCCTGGGCAGTCTCTTATGAGATTGTGCCCTTTCCCACTCAGTCTGACATTCTCACCCTGCTCATCCTACTTGAAAACAAAGTCATTAATATTCATGGCTCCAATGTCCCACACTATGTACAGTTGTGTGTGTGTGTGTGTGTGTGTGTGTGTGTGTGTGTGTTTTATTCACAGGCTCACATTGAGGCTAGCTGGTTTTCTGCTGTTGAATCCCCGCATTAACCCACCTGAATCTATCTAGCGCCATCTTGTGTCTGTAGTGAATTTTACTGAAAGCAGTGTTTTAGCACTAGGGCTGGGGAACAAAAGACCTAGTGGGCAAGCTTTTGATTTCCCAAATATTACCATCAATCAGTGTGATCAGAAACTTGAACTCCACTACACATGAACTTTCTCGTGACTTCCCTTCTGCAATGTGATCAGTCAATAGAATCTGTGAGAGAAACTGATCATAAAGAGAAACATTCACTTTGGCCTTTAGCTCTTGCTTTGCCTGCGTGTTCTGGAGCAGTGTCCTAGCTTTCTGGGCTGCCTGAAGCCCCAGAGGCCCTGAGAGGTCAGGATGGAGACATGCATTCCTGCCTTTCCAGCCCTGGGGGGAGGGCTCAAGGGACGCACCTTCCAGAGACTGAGGAGTCTGCATTGTCTCCTCTGTGCTGTCGGACAGATTTAGAAGAAGATGCTAAAACCCGCCTGCAGATTTACTTCTTCGTTTAATTTTTTAAAATAATTATTATTTTTTCATTATAGTTTACATTCAATATTATTTTATACTAGAGCCCCAGTGATTGAAATTCTGCACAGGCAGGGTCCCTGATGAGAGCCTATCTGTGGAGAGACCACCTGGGCGATCAGGGAGGGAGGTGCCCCCTCTGACACCCGTCTTGGGTGGCCTGGCGTTGCCTGCTTGCCGGCCCTGCCCCCCTCCCCCCACCACCACTGGTCACCTCCCTCTGCAGGGTGACTGGCAAGGTAATAAGGGTGGGGGTGTGCACGCTGGCACCTGCCTTGGCTGTTCTGGGGCCTGTGGGCTGGGGCAGCTCCTGCATTGAGCATCTGCCCCTTGGTGGTCAGTGTGCATCACAGCAACTGGTTCCCCCATGTGTTCAATTTGCATATTCGGCTTTCATTATATAGGGTTAGCTTCAGGTGTACTGCATAGTGGTTAGGCAAGCACATGTTTTACAAAGTGCTCCCCCGATATTTCTAGTATCCACTAGCGGAAACTCAAGTGGGAAAAGGACTGTGGTGCAAGTTCCCTTCCCTGGAGTTTCGCCAGCTTGTTTTCGAAGGGAGAGGAGGAGCAAGAGGGGAGAAGGGGAACGCGGGGCAGGATGCGCTGAATTCTCAGAGCGCTTCCCTGACGTGGAGGTGGGAGGGGTGCACTGCTAGTGAAAAAACCTAAAAACCAAAGAAAAGCATCTAACATTTTATAGTCTGATTTCGTCCCCTTTTCTACAGAGGAGGTTTACTTTTCTATTATAGAAGTAAAAGATGCTCATAATGGAAAAGTGGGTAAGTAGGAAAATAGTACATCCAAAGAACATATGCACAATCATCATGCTTAATGTATCACGGGGCTTCCTTTCGTTCTGCGCATGAAGATGTTAGTGATTACCTGAATTATGTGATGTTTATTCATGATTTTCTACATTTTAATTCTTTCATTATAAACACTTTATAGTTAGGACATAGCTTTGGTAAATGACTGTAGGCTGAGTTCCAGAGGTATGATAGGTATTTAGGTGATCATTTTAATACTATCGATGACACTTCAGTGAGTTGCTTCATCCCTTTTCCTCTTTTAACATAGGATTATTTCCTTAGGGTAGATTCCTGAAATCACATTGATAGGGGTGGAGGGGGGTGGGTGGGGAAGAGAGGACTTTTAAGCTCTGAGTACCGACCAGGAGAAGCCAGACCATCCTGGCTGGCGGTGGGATCCACTCCTCAGCGGTGGTGGGTTTGGGGTACATTCCCTCACTTTTCAGAGCCTGAGTTTTTGCCTCTGTCAGGAGGGGGTAACAATATCCACTGCACAGGAGAGCTGTTGCATTAATAACACATATAAACCTCCCCCCACTTAGAGCATGGCACATAATAGGCTCTAAATTATATAGCAACTATTTTAAAAAACAGTGGCAGCACTAAATAGTCATATTGCAGGATTTGTGCCAATTTGCCCCGCCACCGGTAATGTATGAAGTTACTTGTTTACCCTCACTAGCAATGAATAACTGGATCATTTCTTTCAAATATATCTTTGATCATTTCGGTGAAAATGCTGCCTCAATGTTGTTTTAGTTGGCATTTTTTTTTTAGTGAGAATGTACATCTTTGTACATTATGTGTACCAGCTTGTTGTCTCTTATGAAATGCTTTTGGCTTTTTTTCTGTTGGCATTTAGTATTTTCTTATCAATTAGAGGCCTGGTGCATGAATTTGTGATGGGTGGGGTCTGGCCAGCCCACCCTAATGGGTATGTGGGGAGGGGCCATGGTCAGTGGGGGGAAGGCTGGGAGAGGGGCCACAGGTGGTTGGCTGGCCAGCCCCACCCTCTGTCGGGGTTGGAGGGGCCGATTGGGGACCAGGCTGGCCAGGGGAGGAGCCACGGGAGCTTGTGGGGGGCTGATGGGGACCCTGATCAGGCCGGTTGGCTGCTACAGTGTGTGGCATAGCGACCAGTTGTTCTGGTTGTTCCTTCATTCCAGTTGCTTGGTGTATATATATATATATATATGTATATATGAAATATTTATATAATACATTATTTAAACATTTATCATATTCACTTTCATATGTCCTTTATCTACTATTATCTTTTTATACCAAACTTTGGTTTCCTTTATATGTGACATACATATTTCTCATTCAGATGAAAAAGTGGCTGCAATAATAACCTCTTCATTATACATTCTGTAGATGAATATTTTATTGAATCTATGACATTCCTTGCAAAAATGACAAAATTATGTATTAATTTCCAACCATCCTACATCTCACTATTATTTTTCATGTCATTAAATTTGCCTGAAGTCTAGGGCAGTGTTAAATGAAGATGGGATTAGGAGGCATAATTTAAAAATGATTCCTGATTTTAATAGGAATAGCTCCAGTGTTTCACCATTAAATAGAATATGACTCTGTTATTACAATAATTATGCTGTTTATTGTGTCAAGGATCTAAGTAATTTTTTTTTTTAAGTTTTGAGTTTTTCCATATTAGGGGCATAATTTTTTCCAGAATGATTATGTGGTTGTGTTATTTGATCTTTTGTTGGGTAGGATAATAATAGCTTTCTAATAACACACATATATTTGTATGCTTGCAATTATTATATACTCACTATTTCCTGTTTTACTTTTTTCAACTAACACCATTTTACATAGACTTTCCTACAACCTACATATAAATTTGTATGTGTGTGTAATGCGTAAAAGAAAGAATGTGAGCCTTGGCCCCTGTGGTTCAGTGGTTAAAGTGTTGGCCCGCACCTTGAAGGGTCTTGGGTTTGATTCATGGTCAAGAGCATGTCCCTAGGTTGCAGATTCAATTCCCAGCCCTGTCCTGGGCATGTGCAAGAGGCAATCAATGCATGTGTCTTACTCCCATCAATGTTTCTCTCTCTCTCTCTCCCTCTCTCTCTCTCTCTCTCTCTCTCTCTCTCTCTCTCTCTCTCTCTCTCTCTCTCTTTCTCCTTCTTTCTCCCTCCTCCATTCTTCCCCTCCCTCCATTCCATTTTCTCTAAAAAGGCAATGGGAAAAATATCCTTGGGTAAGGATTAACAAAAATAGAAAAGAAAGAATGTGAGAAAAATGCATTAATATATTAAGATTGCTTAACCTAAATTATGGGATTATGAATTATTTTTACTGCACTCCTCTATGTTTCCAGTTTGTGATGTCCTACTGTCATCATGAAAAGAAAGTATTGCCTAACAATGTCAATGCCATTAATTATGGGTAAAATGAGATTTAGGAGGTCAGATATGGTTTTAAGGAACCTACTTAGAGTATGTAACTTCTGCTCATTATCTAGAGTCCAAGCTGTTTGGATATGAGGGAGCTGAAAGCATGGAGTTCATGTATTTTTGAAAAAGGAAATGCCATGGCTGGGATTTCCTTTTTCAATAATGGCTATATGTGATGACTATTTTCCTTCACTAAGGATTTAGGACTTCGCGTTTGAAAAATGATATTTTTCGTGATTTCTGACATCTTAAACTCTGCAAATCTTTGTAAGGAATTACAAATGATATTAAAATACACATATATATCCCTTATCTAAAGGGTTCAAACGGCATCAGCTGGGGATGGTCCCATAGCCTCTGGGGACAACTAGACAGGTTGCTTGTAGAATTTTCATTTGTCCTCGGTCCCCACCAGGAGGCTACAGCTCAGACACCATCTCGTGGCTATCACTGCCTATCTAGTGCACAGATATAGAAACGTCAAAACATGCATTTACACATCAAGACACAGAGAAACAGCAATCACTGGATTTGGTACCTTAATTGCATCTTTCAGGCACCAGGAATAGCCCTTGTTTCCTCTGCCGTGGTCCACACTTTTGTCTCTGAAATGAGATTTTGCTAATTTCAGAGCCCAGGCATTTTCTTCAAATTTGGTTCTTAACATACTGTGTACTTAGCGTGTGGGAATCTCAATGGCCATTATGATCGTTGAAAATTATATTTACACGTAAAACCATAATGTCTCCTTGCTTCTTTTTCTCTCCTTCTCTGTAGCTCTGGGCCAGATTATGCTGTATGTGGATGGGATGAACGGAGTAATAAACCACAATGAAACCATTCAGTGGCTGTACACTCTCATCGGGTCAAAGGTAAGAGAAGCTTCTGGTTGAACATCGCGTTCAGATTCAATATCATCTGCCTTTTTTCTGTTATCCTGTCTGAGAAGCTTTTGCAGAAGGGAAAATTACTGCGTTTCTAAATACCATGGAGAAACCATCAGATTAAAAGCCCTCAAGAATGAGAATGTAAGAATTGTGCATCCCAGCCCCCTTTTCCTGGGTAGCACATGCAGTGGTGGGGGCCTGGGCCTCTGCTGAGCTGGGCATTTGCTTTCTCACTTGGGGCATCATCTCCAGATCAGTGCTGCTTTTTCTCCATCTGTCATTTTCCCAAAGGAAGGTCCACAGTGGCCTCTGGCTCCTGTGTTCACACTGGGCCGGTCACTGTGAGGGTGAGAAAACAGAGCCACAGGGCAGCCTAAGCCTCGCAGCCATGGTGATAGAAAGGGGACAGACCATGGGCGATGGCCCGCAGCCCATGCTCGCTCACTGTGACATCCGATGACCCTGCAGGCTGTGCCCAGTTTCAGGCCAGTGGCCAAAAGTCAACAGCGCCAACAGCCACCAAGTTTTTTTTCCATGCAATTCTTATTTTATTTTATTTTATTGATTTTTTATAGAGATGATGGGAGAGAGATAGAGAGTTAGAAACATGGATCAGCTGCCTCCTGCACACCCCCTACTAGGGATGTGCCCCAACCAAGGTACATGCCCTTGACAGAAATCGAACCTGGGACCTTTCAGTCCGCAGACTGACGCTCTATCTGCTGAGCCAAACCGGTTTTGGCTGTCTTCCGTGCAATTCTAATGTGATTACCTCTTATTCACAAAACCAACCCAGTGTCCCCTGACACTCCTCATCACCCTGCATCTAGACGGTGAGGAATCTGCAAGCAGAAAAGATGCAACAACCTACCTTTTTAGGTTTTGGGAAGGAAGCCTTAGTTCCTTAAACACACAAACTGGGCGATAGGGCCACAGAGCTCCTCCCAGTTCAGATGAAATGAAGGAGTCGGGGGAGCCAGGGGCCCCTAAGGCTTTCTTTTGACTAAGAGTTGAGTTTTCAGATCCTAAAAGGTTTGCCTTGAGATCCTGTGGTTTTTACCTTAAACAGGCACAGAGTTGATACTGAAATCCTGGGTTAGGGAAACCTTGCCATCCTGTCCTCATAACCTTCCCCTTTCCTGCCATGAAAGGCAACACAATGTGATGCTACCATCAGGCCTGCCAGAGGGTCATTGTGCAACGCATATTTGCAGATATTTGAGGCTCAGACTCAGAGGACAGAATGATGTATTTGCAGCCAAAGAATTACTTTTTAAGAGAAAGAAAAAGTGTTTTCAATAAAGTGCTTTAGTCTGTTTACCAAAGTCCATCCTTAAACCCCAGTCAGAGGTAAGAAGCAGTTGTCCACCCTGTGACTTCTCACATGTGTGAGTTTTTCCTCTTCATGCATATGGAAGTCTCATTAGTTGGGATAAGATGATTCAGCTTATACGGCATAGCCTTTTGTCTCTGACACAGCCTCTCTCTCGTGCCGTATGGATCCCCTTCTGACCCATGGGGGAGGCCCCAGGGACCCCCAGCTCCTTGCGGGTGACTCCTGATGCAGTTATGGAGTCTATCCCATCTATGGTGCTGTCCACCTTGGCTTGCTCCATTCTCTCTAGTTCTCTGTCAGCCCCACTGAATTGCATTCTTCCAATGGTGCCCTAGGTTGCTGACCACAGATCTCTAAATATCCTTGGTACTTGTGTGATGTTGGTCATGCTTCCCTATTCCTCCCAGAACAGCTACTAGCTGAGGGAAGTCCTGGCCACAGCCCCCTTTCACACACACACACACACACACACACACACACACACACACTGTAAGATGATGAGGGTGATTAGTGGTACGTGGTGTGTAGAATAGAGTGGTGGAGTGAGGAGAAATTGACAGGGATGATAGGATAAGGGCTAGTGTAGTATCAACACTGGAAGGCGGAGAGCTACGCAGTCAGATGTATCTGTTGGGCTGATGGACAGATGGTGACACAGACTTCAGGGCTTGATCGGAGATCCTTGGCATATACTGAATTCAAGCTTCAGTATATGCCATTGGAAGAAAGTGTTTCATTAAGAAATTCTGGTATCTTAAATCACCAGAATTTTTCTGTTGATAAAATATTCAGGTATTCTTAGCTCTTTCTGGTAAGCTTGTAAACAGTGGTCCAGCTTTGCAGATCAAGATATCTCGCGGATTTTGAATTCCTTCTTAATAGCCAGCGTCCACTTCTATAACATGTACTTATGCTTTTTTAGTGGAAAATGGAACAAACAGAACGAAGCATGTTTTTCTGACCACCCCTCCCCCTTTTGTAATTTAAGTCCTGAGGTTTGGAAATTGTTTTCTTTTTATGGTGGTTGCATTGTTAGAAGAGGAGTAGGAATTTGGAGATTTTGGGGGAAATGCTTTTATTTCTACGTATTTAACCTGCTATGTATAGTTTTTGGGTTTCTCTGAGTACAATAAACACGTTCAGGGAGCTCCAGTTTGCTTTCAAATGCACACTTATGGAGGAAAATTGCCTTTTATTCCTTTTCCATACATGTGGTGGTTACATTTTATCTAAAACCTGGACACCCGGGTTCTTTTCAGGCTGACTCCACACCCTCTCTGTGGGTTGATCCAGAAAATGAAAAACCCGGCAAAGCACACCATGTCATCACCACCCTGCTACCCCCTCCATCCCAGCCTCCCGGGCAGGGAGGAATGCTGGAACCTCGAGTGGTTTATGCAGACTGGAGGCTCAGGCCCCAATGGAGGCCTGACGAATGTACATCCCTGCGTTAAAGGCTCTTTGTCCCCGTGAGGACTCAGCCTCTGTTTCACGCTGAACAGGAACAGAGAATGCGAAGTGAGAGCTGGAGCAGAAAGGAAAGTTCAGTCTGCCCTCCCCCCCCCTCCCCAAATGTGCTAAAGTTCGCAGCTGGCTCTGTGTGCCTGTCTCCCCGCCAGCCCAGTGCAAAGGGCTGGTCTCTGATTCCTGTTACATATTGTCATTTAGCTGTGTATGTGTGTGAAAACAATAAAATAGAACACTAGCATTCGCTAGGGGGTGATCAAGTGAGAAGTAGGTAACGTGTGGCCCAAAGGCTGAGTCTTGACCATCTAGTGCTCCCTCCAGCCCCAAGGAAGTGGAATCGTTTGTGTGAGCAGGAGCCCGGAGGCGGTCATATAACCTTTCTGCTCCGTGGAAACCCAGAAAGGTGGCTGGACCCACCCTGTCCGACCGGCTCTCTTCTTCCCAGAAAGGGCTGTCCCCTGGGAAAGGCTTTCTGTCCTCGGAGCCGTGGCCCTGACGGCCTCTAGTGTGGGGAACACTCTCAGTTGTGTGTTGTAGGTGTTCTGGGCCCTACACCTCCTTGGGTCCTGGGCATCTGGAAGGTGCTGAAGACATTGAAAGAAGCAGGGCATCTTGGAATTGGGAGGGACCTTAAACGGTGCAGCCAGTCCCCCTCCATCCAGGCTCTGAATTCCTCCAACAATCACCTTAGCGAGTGGCCACCAAGAACATCCAGATGTGGGAACTGCGCTCTCTGCCTCAACCCCTGCTCTGTGGCTGACTTCTTGCTGCCCTGTATCTCTGTAGAATTCATTGTGATTGGTTGTTTTTATCTTTCCAAAGATCGCTCTTCCATAAGAATGAGAACCCATTCTGATTGATCTTCCCTCGGTGCTAGGCGAGTGGGCACGCGTTTGAGCTGATAAGTCATTTCAATGAGACTCTTCATTGGGACACGAAGGAGTACCAGGCAGAGCTGAACACCAGACAGTTCAGATGGGAGAGGCCAGGCCACACCCCTTTGGGAAACCTTTGCATCTGAGCCAGTGGTGGTGGCTGCCCTGGCGGCCGTGGCTTGTTCCCACCCTCCTCCTTTGTGGTCCTCGCTCTTGGTGCTACAGTGGACCTGCCTTACCTGCTCTGTCACTGGCCTCTGGTTTGTTCCTTTCAGCCGAGCTGATTAGAATGCCTCAGATAAGTTCAAGTAGCACCAAATGTGGATTTTTAAGAGCATAGAGATGACCATATGTTTGGACTTGGAAGAATGGGTATGTGGCTTCCCTGTGGTTGTTCCAAAGCTTTGGAGGGTTTTGACTGTATTTTATTTACCTACTTGAGGGCATCAAATTAAGTGCTTTCTGGATAAATGAGGGATTGATGTAGAGATCTTTTGAAGTAATCGTACTTTTATCATTTCCAGGTGTATGCAGCAATGCTAAGAAGGTATTTCTGAGGAGTCCTGCTCGCTGTATTTTGATGATTAGTTAGGATATGTTCTCAATTAGTATCATGCATTTCCATAAAGCTAATGTTCTCATATTCTCTCTTTTCCGAAGTAGCTTAACTACCCAATATGCTTAGTAATTTCACTTAGTAAGTCTTCCAAACACATGTCACATGCAAACATAAACTTAGACTCACCTGTAACCAAATTGATAGAAACCTGAAATCATGAATGAGTTTGGGGATCGATCTCTCTCTCTCTCTCTCTCTCTCTCTCTCTCTCTCTCTCTCAATACCCAAAATACTCCAAACAGAGTCTTTATAGCAAAAGAGAAGACATGAATAGGCATGTTGAGACCAATAGAAAAGGATTTGCTAGAAAACAGAGGTTTCTTAATTAGAGAGCCTGGTATCGGAGAGTGGCTCAGGGGGTCCTGGGTTCTGGGACTATGTGGGCCAAGACCCAGGACCACAGATGCTCAGAAGAAACCTTGATGAGATGGGCACGAGCGGCCCTGCTGAGATCGGCTGATGGGGAGCAGGTTTGGGCAGCAGCCAGGTTCTTTCCCAGGAAGGCCCTGCGAAAGGCCTAAACCACATAATGACAGTCCGCCCACGAAGGAAGTCGCCAAGCCTGGACTTGCTGGGTATTTTATTTACTTGGAGAGATTTCTTGGGCTCTAAGTGTAGAAAGATAGTGCAGTTTATTGTGCCATTGCCTTCCCTCCTACCCCCAACCTTGTAGTTGGTGAGGAATTTAGTTGATTCCTTCCCAGGGCACAGAGGACCAAGCGCAGGACTCGGACTATGAGGGTAAAATGCCCTGCAGAGCTGAGGGCTCTCCGGAGAGCTCCACTCCCGGGGGTAAGGACAGGGTCGTGAGGATGGATGTCCTCAGTGTAGTCCTGCAGTCACTGGGAAGTGAAGAACTGGAGCCAGCAGTGTGGGAATTCTTTTGAGAAGTTTCCCTATACAGGGGAGCTGAGAACCCCGGGACAGGCGGGAAAGAGGTGGGGAGTGAAGGAAAAGACACGGTGGTTTACTAGGGAAGTGTGACAGAGGGGAGCGGGGCAGGGCAGTGGAGGTGTCTGCATGATTTTGGAGACATGACTTGGGGTTGGGTGGTGCTTTTACTCTGCTCCCTGTGGGAGTGCACGGTGTCCCAAGTTCTCTGTAAAGTCCCATGGGTCCCTAAGATTTTGATGTGAGAACATGACTCCAGGAGGCCCTGGCTCTTCCTTAGGCTGCAAGTGGAGAACCTGGAGCCAGTTCACCACCATGGTGACGGAGGGGAGGGCCACGCATTGATTGGCTTGTCATGAATTGACTCATTCTTTCATTAAGGAAACATCACTGAGCCCATTCTGTGCCAAATGCCATTCCAGGCCCTGTAAACAGTGCAGATAAGCCCCTCTCTTCAGGCTGTGTTCCTGCCTGGGAGGGATGAGCAGCTGACAAACAAGTTGCTAGGGATGGAACAAGCTTTCCCTCCCTCCCTCCCTCCCTCCCTCCCTCCCTCCCTCCCTCCCTCCCTTTCTCCCTCCTTTCCTTCCTTCCTTCCTTCCTTCCTTCCTTCCTTCCTTCCTTCCTTCCTTCCTTCCTTCCTTCCTTCCTTCCTTCCTTCCTTCCTTCCTCATTCATCTTCACCTAAGGATATTTTTCTCATTGATCTTTAGAAAGAGTGGAAGGGAAGGAGGGAAGGAGGGAGAGAGGAAGAGGGGAGAGGGAGAAAAAGAGAAACATTGATGTGAGAAAGACACATCCATTGGTTGCCCCCCATATGGGCCCCAACTGGAGCGAGGATCAAACCTGCAGCCCAAGTCCTCACCAGAAAAGTGAGAATGGTCATCATTCCTACTCTACAGTGCTCAAGTCTAGAAAAAAAGTCATGTAGAGTACTCCCCCCTCACTTGTGGTTTTGCTTTCTGTGATTTTAGTTACCTATGCTCCATTGCAGCCTGAAAATATTAAATGGAAAATTCCAGAAATAAACAATTCATGCCTTTTAAGTTGCTTGCCGGTCTGAGTAGTGTGATGAAATCTTGTGCTGCCCAGCCACGTCCCACCTGGGATAGGAACCATCCCTTTGCCCAGTGGACCCGCCCTATAGACACGCTCCGAGCTTGCCTGGTGGTCATGCCGTGGCCAGCTCGGTTGTCAGAAGGACTGTCACAGTATCGCAGTGCTTGTGTTCATGTCACCCTTATAGGAGCCTAACACTACGTCACACCATGTGCTTCATCACCTCCTGCATCTCATCACGTAGGTCTGTGTCATCTTACATCAGAAGAGTGAGTGCAGTGCAATGAGAGAGAGACTGTATTCATATAATTTTATTACAGTATATTGTTATAGTTGTCCTTTATTTAAAAAAATTCTTTATTGATTAAGGTATCACATATTTGTCCTCAATCCCCCATTCCAATCGCCCCCACTCATGCCCCCACCCCCTATTGTCCTTGACCACTGCTTAGGTTCATATGTGTGCACACAAGTCCTTTGGTTGATCTCTTCCTTTTATCCCCACCCTCCCGTTGAGGTCCAACAGTCTGGCCCATGGCTCCTTCTCTCTGGGTCTGTTCTTGTTCATCAGTCTATGTTGTTCACCATTTCCTCTAGAGAAGTGAAATCATGTCCTACTGGAAATATACTTACAAGAATCAAAAATGAGACAAGCAATGATTATTATGCTGAAAGGCATAGGAATCAGTCTGTAGAGAGTTTCTTTCTGGGCCACCAGTTCTTTTGAGACCCAATTTCAATGTCAAACAGTTCAATAGAGTTGTCGTTTTTTATTATAGGTTGTTGTTCATCTGTTACTGTGCCTAATTTATAAGTTAAACTTCATCGTAGGTGTGTATGTATAGGGAAAAACATAGAATGAAGGGTTCGGTACCCTCTTTGGTTCCAGGCATCCACTCGGGATCTTGGCGCTTATCCCCACCGATAAGGGGAAGAGGAACGACTGGAACTGACTCAGCCACCACTCCCTGGGGCATTGAGAGACTGCTGGGACCTAAGGCCCTGGGTTCGAATTTGGGTTCTGTTATTCTTGGGCAGGGTGCTCCGTGCCTCGGTTCCTTGATCTGAGCAGTGGGGATAACGCTCACACCTGCCTTCGGAGGCGCCGGGGAGGAAGCCTGTGTGGTTGTGGAGGAGAGCGCCCGGTCTGAAGCACGCGCGGTGCCCGCTGCCCGCCGCTGTCAGAGATGGCGCCTTTGGGTGCGAGGGGCTGTGGGCGCCTGCATGACGGTTTCTCTCCCTCGCAGTTCCGCCTGGTGGTGAAGACGGCCCTGAAGCTGCTGCTGGTCTTCGTGGAGTACTCCGAGTCCAACGCGCCCCTGCTGATCCAGGCGGTCTCCGCGGTGGACACAAAGCGAGGTGAGCGGTCCCCACCCCCTGATCTCATCCAGGGGAAAATGTCTGATGTGGGAAGACTCCCGCTTTTTACACGTTCCACACAGAATTAGGATGAGCAGAATTCCCTCGGTGTGGACCTCCCCCTGCAGGAAACACAGTGAGTGCATAAAGATTAGAAACAGAGCGAGCTTTGCAGGGGGAGAAAAGCCCTCGTGGGCACACCTAGCAGGGGCCTGGCCCTGAGCTTGGCTTCTCGCTCTGTCCCCCGCCACTGAGCACAGGCAGGACCAGGTCTTTCTCCTTCTTTCCCATCCTGTCCTGCCCTGGCTCCTTCCTCCCCTCCTGTCACACAGGCTTGATCCACTCTGACCCCTAGATGTTCCCTTTTCCTCCACCACACGTCCCTTCCCTCCTGGGGTCCCTCACCGTCTCTCACCTGGTGCTACGCTGGCCTCTGCAGTTGGAGGATTTTTCTAAAACACACATTTGTTCACACCATTTTCCATCTGATACCTGTCCATGGCTTCCAGTGCCCACAGGATTAGGTCCAAACCCTCCATCTGGCCCTGTACCATCCAGCCCCTATCTACCTGCCACGTGTCTCCCACCTGGCCTGCGCCACACCCCCCTCCCTTGGGTCAGACAGCTCTCAGCGCCCCATACGCCCCTCTTCTCTGCTGTACTGTTTTCATTGCCCGTCTCTCCCGGGTGTGTGCCCTGCCTGAGGACAGGGTGCCCTCCTCTTGGTGTCCCAGTGCCTGGCGGGCCTGCCCTGCGCACTTGATGAAGATCAGCTTTGGATCTGGTTCAGTGTGTAACGTGCTGTGTGGCCCCCTATAATGTTGTAAAGCCTGAAACCAAGTTGTTGGAGGGTTTTGTTTTGTTTTGTCCTTTTAAAAAAACAAACTTTTAGTTTTGTTCCCCAGTAAGAATTGGTGATGATAATGGTAAAAAACTTGATAACATTTATTTTCTCTGTATGATTATAACAGTAATGCTCTCTGTAGAAAATTTGGGGGAAGTGGGGAAACTGTATAAAGCAGACAACTGCAGCATCACCTCTCATCTCACCAGACAGCAATCGTGTTAACACGGTGGAACATTTCCTTATGGTGTGTGTGTGCCTGCACAGATTTATGCACAAGTCAGCTGAGATACAACCAGACCCACCTTCCAGGGCTCAGTTGGAAGGTGGAAGAAAGTAGATCGCTGGTTCCTTTGAAAATTGGAATGTAAGTTAATGAAAACCAGCCAGAACCATACATCGGGCCCCATACCTTTCCCATGAATGCGCAGGCAGATGTCAGCTCCCTGCACGGCAGATCTCAGGCTGGGGCGTCTCTGGGCCTCTGTGTGGATGTGTGTGACAGAGACAAACTCATGCATGGTCACAACTGTGAGTCTGGAAGGTGGGCTCCAGACTAGCACAGGTCTGTGTGCTTCTTTCTATCACAACATGGTGTCATCTGGTACTAGATTTGAAATTCCTATGGCCAATAGTATATCATGAGGCCAGCTGAGAATCCTCAATGAAGATTGCCAGTGACTTCAGAAACAGGACAGGGGGGCGGTAAGTGAGTGGTGGTGGGGAGTTTCCCAAGGCCAGTGAATGAGAGTTAGGGCCAGAGATGGATTTCTGGGGAGATAGCGAAGCAGATCCTTTCATTCATGCTTAGAGGAATCATGGTCAGTGCCCAACTCTGGGGATTACTTTAGAATGATGAATGGACTCTTCAGCTTCCTGTCCTAAATTCAGCTAACCCATGGGCCCTTATCGTGGGGGCCGTGTTAGAGGGGCTAGTCTTTTCATGACCTTGGGTTGTGCTTTGACTTCATTGACTTGGGAGCTGTTTCCTTCCTTGAGCCTCACGTTTCGTGAGGGTGTGTCATGGGGTAGAGGAATGGTCCTGAGATTAACCCAGAGCATGATGTCCCATTCAAGACTCCATCCACTGGCTCAGCCAAAGGCTTGGAGTTGTACTCAGTCTGTCCCCTGTGACAAAATGATGGCCGTCTTTTCCCAACTTATAAAAAAAGAATGAAACAAAGGGGGGGGGGGGAATTAAACAAGTTAACGGGTTGTTTACTTAGCTTCATGGTTTTTTTGCCTATAAAATGTCTTAAGTTTTGGGCAACTACTGTCATCTGTCTGCTACTGAGCACTAGAAGCTGGAAGAAAAAAAGGAATATCACCAGTGGAACAAATTGAGACACATAGTTTATCACATGTGGTTCAACAGTACATTCCTCTTATAGACATGTGTGGTCTTGGCCGTAATGCATGCATATAACATCATCCTATTTTACTGCTAGTCAGTGTTCCCGAACCCCGTGGTGGAATGAAACATATCCATATATCATGGTGTTTGCAGAGGGCCCCTGACTCCCAGGTGTGTTTCCACCAATAGGTGTGGAAGCAGCTGTCCACTTCCTCCTCGGCCTCTGAGAGCAGACAGAGGTGCCAGAGGTGACGAGGGCCAGCCAAGCATGTCCACTGTGCACAAGCTGAAGCCGTAAATTCTACTCCTCAGGTGCATTAGACACATCCCTCTGGGCAGATGGGGTGGAGAATGGGCATATTAAAGCATAGACTGGGTTTGCTTGAATAGAAAGGAATTCTTTTGGATGATGAAAACTCTCATATTTAAAGAATCAACAAATAAGCTAGGAATCATCAAACATTACTACCACTAGCAGCCAATGAAGTTCTCTTAGGATACATCCCCCCTGGTTGCTTTACAGCCTGGATTAACCAGAAGGGTGCATTATATGTGCATGGATAGTTTGGCCAACTGTGGGCCAGTTAGGGAGCCAGAATAAAAGCTGAGGAGTCTAAGTCCATCTTAGGGGCTGGTGAATATTTATGAATTAATGGAAGTCTAAAATGCCCCATTTGATCCAGACAGTTGGCGCTTTTGCTGCGGGGCTGGAATGAAAAGGTAGATTTGGGCTAGTCTCTGAGGCACGTGGCAAGGAGGCTTTGCGTTCTGCTCAGTTTCCAGTTTCTCTCCCAAGACAAAGTGATGGCCATCTTTTCCCAATTTGTAAAAAAAAAAAAAAAAAAAGGAAAGAAAAATAAATGTTTTTAATAAAGCAGACACACCCGTCTGCTCAGACTACTAGGTCATCTTCTCTTTGGCTTGGATCTCCAAGTCACCTTCTCTTTCTAACGGACAGAGCCTCGCAGGAAGATACAGAGGCAGTGAGCGCTTCCAGAGCCCATGAGGGGGCCTTGCCTTGTCATCTGCCTCCTTTCCCTGAGAATTCCCCTAGTGATGGACTGGAAACTGGTTGCGAACCCTCAGTAGCCCTGGGAAGGGTATCCTTCCCTCTGATAATCTCAGACAGAGGGTGGGGCAAGTAACCAGACTGGGTAACCCATTCGGAAATTTCCATTGTAAATGGTGAGTCAGCACCAATTCGGTTCAGCGCTGCTTTTGAAGAAGCTTCATTTTTCATTTGCATGGGAGGTGATGAGATATGACATAATTCTCCAGCATGTGTAGCACACATGATTAACAGGGGAAACTGTCCCGCCATCCTTTTAAGCTCTCCTGTCTCTGATTTCTGCTCAGGATGTATGGATCTGCAAAAAATGCACACAAAGTATGGTGGGTGTTAGGGGATGACAGAACGCCAGCCCCATTCCCATTATTATTTATAGCCAAAGTATGTGTGTTAAGTGTGTTCATCAATTGTGTTGAAAGACATGGAACATACCATGAGGGCCTTCTGTTTGGATATAAGACCAACTCGTGTACAAGGCATTGTGCGAACTATTTTCTTTTCTTTGGGGTTTAATTCGGAGACCTAGGAGGAAAGTATTGAACAGTTATTTATTCTGGGTTAAGAGAGGACTGGCCTGGGAGCCTGTCCTCTGGGGGTGTCATCACACTCCCAGCCACCATTACACTTACAGCTACTGATATTCTAGTGCCTACCAGGGAACAGGCTCTATGCTAAGAAATTTTTATACAAAACTAATTTGTTTAACCTATGTTTAAATACCAATTGTGTGCTTGAAACAGGCTCTTGTTGAGCCTACACTCACTCCAGGGGTTGAGGGTGGAGTTGGAGAGAGACAGCTGATCATGGTTAAGTAACTTATTGCCTTCTCATGTGCTTGGTCAGTGCTAAGGCAAAAAAGCCAAGGGCTTTATCTCCAGGATACCTCCCAGCAATCCTATGAGGTTGATACCATCATCCAATTTAGATGCACTTGCTGAGCCATCGTTCATTCCACCACTCTGGGGCTCTGTTTCTTTCTCTGTTATGTGAAGGATTCAGATTCTATGATTTAGGTGCCCGCTCCTTCTTATATTCTCTGGTCTTCTCTCTTTTTCTGACTGTGTGCACTTACTCTCTGGTTTTCTTTCGACGGCACCAGCTTAACCCACTTCCTGCCTGCAAAGATCTCCATTCACTTTTCTGTAGATATTTCAGCCCTGACACAACCCATCCAAGAACCAGCATTTAGAAGCCACTGGCTGTGGATTACTTTAGAATTTTTATCAGTAAAAAAAATGAGCATTATCATTTGAGGTCTGTAAAGAGAAAGAGGAAAGAGCTTCCTGTTCCACACAGCCATGCCATGGGCAAGCAACACTTCACTTCAGATGCTTGTCTCAGGCACAGGAAGTGGGTCGGGGGGCATGCGTCCCCTTTGTGGCCTTGGCAGTGCTGATGTGCGTGCCTTGCGAGTGCCTTTACTCTGTGTGGACGTGCGTTCTTGTATTATACTTAGGCCTAACTGCTCTATTAGATTATAAAACTCTTGATGGCAGCCTCCTCCTAGACCCAGTTCCTTCTGCTTGGTTTCTGCTTCGATGGTATTTGTGCCTTGATTACATAGGGGTGATATACTTCTGTTCTTGAAATGTTTGCTGGATGGGCATCTCACTGCCAGTTCTTAGAGCCCGTGTGAGTGTTAAGACCTCCCACATCTCCTTTCCTTGCAGGAGATCAGACTGTAGCATGCTGATGCACAGAGAGAACTTATTAGGGTTTCTGCCCGCAGCAAGTGAAACGCATGGCCTAAAAGGCTGCATGTGAACGCATTCTTAAAAGTTACGCAATTCTCGTAATGGGAACTTTCAAGCACATTGTTGGGCCTCCTCACACTGAAGAATATACATCTCCAAGTGCACAAGGATAATGTGGTATATGGTCACCTGATTTGAAGCCTGTGTCATGCTTATTCTCGGTGGATTGAAGGGCATGCCACGTTTGGGTGAAGAGCCTTTAGATACACTTGGGAGTGAGTTGGATGAGAAATGTTGAGTTGCTGTTCCTAATGATTTTTGCTTTGCTCGCAGGAGTTGTACCCTGGTCAAATATCATGGAAATCCTGGAGGAGAAAGACGGGGTCGACACGGAGCTGCTAGTTTATGCGATGACTTTAGTGAACAAGGTTGGTCAATGTCTGTTATGGGTTGAATTGCTATGTTAAGTCCTATCCCTGGTACCTATGGATGTAAGCTTACTTGAAAACATAGTGTCTTTGCAAATCAAGTTAATATAAGTCACATGGATGGGCCCTAACCCATTATGATTGCTGTCCTTTTAAGGACAGAAAGAGGCAGGCATAGAGGGAGAGACGTACACACGTGCTCATGAGGAAGGAATCCATGTGGAGACAGAAGCAGAGATTCAAGTGATACATCTCTAAGCCAGATGATGCCAGAGAATGCCAGGATTTCCAGCAGCCAGTCTAGGGCGAGGCAAGGAAGTACCCTCTCCTCGAGCCCTCAGAAAGAGCAGGACCCTGTCCACATCTTGTCTGGTTTCCAGTCTCAAACTATGACAGGACCAATCCCTGTCGTCTTAGCCACCTAGTTTGTGGTGATGAGTTACGGTAGCCCTAGGGAACTAAGACAACGTGGAAGTTTAAAATGTGCCCTCTGACTAAGAGCCACGTCCTGTGGACCCCCTCATGGTGGCTGGGACCCTTGTGGTTGTGTGCTTCTTTGCAGGAGAAAACCCTTTACACTCACACATGGTGTGTGTGCCCTGTGCTGATGCATACACGTGTGAAGCCCTGTGAGTGTCTGCTTGCTTCTGGTGCTTTGGTCTTTGCCTTTTTGTTTTTTAAAATTTTATCTATTGATTTCAGAGAGAGCAAGGAAGGGACAGAGGGGAGGGAATGGGAAGGAGGGAGAGAGAGAGACATCAATTTGCTTCACTCATTTTTGCATTCATTGGTCGCTTCTTGTATGTGCTTTGACTGGAGATCAAACCTGCAACCCTGAAGTATCTGGAAAATGCTCTAGCCACCTGAGCTAACCAGGCAGGGGTAGGTCTTTTCTAATAGCGGAAATTTTATGACAGACCACTTTTCCTATCAAGCTGTCCCCTTCAAAACATGTTTCTTTAAGCAATTACTGTATTTTTCGGACCATAAGACGCACTTTTTTCCCCCCAGAAGTGGGGGGAAAAAGTCCCTGCGTCTTATGGTCCAAATATAGCCTACACATATACTTAAAAAAAAAAGTTTTTTTACTTGCCCGGCTCTGTGTGGTCTCTGTGTGCTTGCCCGGCTCTAAAATGGTTCTAAATGCTGCTGTTTACTTTACAGGGTTGATTACATGTGTTTATGACTGTGATGTTGGGTTTTAATGCACATTAAATATTTTAGGACACTATTTGTTTCAGAATCTTTTTTTCTTCATTTCCCTTCTCTAAAAACTGGTGCGTCTTATGGTCCGAAAAATAGGGTAATGAGCAAGTTTTACTGTCAGGAAAGAATTCGCAGTCAGGAGAAATGAAAGCACCCTTACTGCACTGCTTATTGAATTCTGAGTACGGGGGCCTGAGATGAGATTCCCAGGAGTGGGCCCCATCCTTCTTTTATGACGGTGACACCTTTCTGCCATGTCCGTCCCGGTCAGTCGGAGTCTTCAGTATTCATCCCCAGAGATGCTGCTCTGGCCACAGGTCAGTCTTACACTGGCCTGGGTCAGCCCACTTTTGGGACTGGACTTCGTTCATGACAATGGCTCAGTCCTTCATCACCGAGGCTGGGGTTAGGTAGTTACCTTTTGCAAATCACTACACCCTAGACCAGGTGTAGCCCTGCCATGTGCCTTCAGCCCCTCATCAGCCCCTCCGCAGGCCATCCTGTGTACTGTTCAAGCTGTGGCGTGTAGGCCTACACGGCAGACCACATATCTCTTCCTGAAATATAACTGGAGAAACATTTTCCCTCATGAACGGGGGACAGATATGAAGCAGCAGCATTATAAGGAGTAGCTTCTACTAGATATTAAGATGTGCAAACTCCAATGGTAAAGCAGTATTGGGGAGCGAAGGGGAGCGGAGGAACTGTGAAATGACCTGATGCATTGGAATTTCCTACGCTGTGACTGACATCAAAGGGGGTGGGTTAGCTTGTTCATGATCAGGAGGTCTTGCTACATGGAAATAAATGAAAATTTCATTCATATACCAGAATAAATTCCAGATCAATTCAAGAGTTCATTGTAACACATCAAGCTATAGAAAAATAAGGGGAAAAACCCAAAAACCTGTACGTAAAAGATTAATTGGCCTCTGGTAGGTAAAGGTGACATTAATAATACAAAAGAAAAATTCCGAAGGGAAGGACTTAAATATTTCAGTGAACTGAACTCTCCGAGGTCGTATCATTAGAAATGAAAACTACAAACAAAAGCTCAAGGCAAGTGACAGACTAGGAAATTGTTAGCAAAAAAATAGGCCAGAAAATGATACTGCCCTAAATATATTAAGAACCGAGTGGAAAAAGTAATAGCATTAAGCCTACTGAGATTAAGAGAAATGCGCAGGAAAACAACATTTCCCAGAGCCAGGGATTGCTTTTTAACGAAAGGCATTTGTTGGTGAGGCTCAGCAACCTCCACGACAGTCCTCGTGGGGAATAAGCATCACTTTTTGGTAGACGAACATTTTGCTTTTATTTTTAAATCTGTGAATTTATTTTACCATGCAATTTTAAAGCAATTTTCTGTTGGGTTTCAAAGATTAAGGTCATCAATTTCCTGTCATCTCCAGTCACTGACATTGTTTTGGAAAACACTGAGCTCAGCAAAAAAAAGTGATATTTTCTCTCTTGCTCAGTGTTTTCCACTGTAACGCTATCCATTTTATTGGTGGCGGCCGTGCCCAGCTGTTCTGATGGCCCTGGCAGCCTTTGCACGGTGTGGCCTTCTGCTGCCAACCCCCGGCAGAGACCCAGTGCGTGTCAGACTCTCCTTGGCATCACACGGCATTTAATGTCCAGGAATTCCTCGCGTACTCTTTCTCTTCTGGCAGTTCTGTCTCATCTTTTGTTAGTTCTGGCCCAGAGGAGGTCCAGGCAGGTCCCCAGGACATTACTTCAAATGTCATCTTTTCCTCAGAAAGGTCAGCAGACAGCTGGCACCCACGCTGGGTTTGTTTTCTGTTGTTGAGTTTTAGTCATGTTTATTGCCCCAGTGAGTAAAATCCTCTAAGATCCCAAAACAAAACAGCGCAGTGAAATGTGACGTGGTTCTGGAAAAAATGTACACTCTGAAATCTAGGAAATTAATACAGTGGGTTTCTAACTTTTGTTTCAATATAGTAAAAGAAGGCCTAATGACACGGAATTCAAAAACTTAACAGTTTTATGACAAAACAAGGGGACTAAATTCTAGCCTGCTCATGGTACTGAGACTGAAACCTCCCCTTGTTAAACAGGGGCATGAATGGGGGGCCTCCAAGATCCAGACTAATCCCCCCACCTTCCACCCATGTTGTCAAAAGATGGAGGGGTTTCAGAAACCATGTTTTACCCTGCAAGCTGAAGTTACATGCAGTCACATCTTGGTTCTCAAAAGTCTCCCTTCTTGAACAATTTGGTTCTCAGCCGCGTTGTTCACGGAAAAAATGTCTTGGTTAACTTCTCTTGGGCCACAGACAAAGAAGCGAATACACCAATATGAGTCAGTTTACAGCTAAACCTGCCTTGTTAACATCGCAGGAAATTGTGCTGTGAACATATTTGTGTGTGTGTGTGTGTGTGTGTGTGTACACGTGCGCTTTTGTTGCTGGCAAATCCATGATTAGCACACTTTTAAAACATAAAGAGGCTTTTAAGAGTGCTAATGGTGCTAAGGTGTGAAGGGCCATTGAAGAGGCAGGAAAACTGTGGTTGGTTTGGATGAAGGAAAAGCAGTCAGCCAGTGACAGCATTTTGGAAGCAGTGACCTGTGAGAAAGCAGAGATGCCGCCTGCTGACCTCCTGAGAGACATCCTTGCAGAAAAATGGTTCTTTTAAGGCTGGTAGGGAGCGGTTCATTGAATTTTAGAAGTGTTGTTGATAGATTTAAAAGTGCATTAGACATGTACTGTATATGAGAAAGGTTAACATAAGGAATTATTTGGGGGGTCAGGAAAGGATTAATTCCATTTATATATTTTTTCTAATGGGGAAAAAAAAATCATTCGAGTTTTGAACACACTGTTTCTCAAACAGCCTTCCAGAGCAAAATAAGCTCAAAAGCCAAGGTACCACTGTAGTGTCCTGCCCTGATCCAGCTGAAGTTCCCTCAGTGGGCCATACTGACCACCTCTTAGGACAGGATGAGTCAGGGAGGGCCGGAGCCACAGGAGCGTTACCATGGGGCTGGCAGGAGTGTTAGGGCAGGAGGGAGTTGGGAGCCCCGGAAGGGCTGCTGTTCTGGCAGGGCCAGGGTGAAGGTAACCTAGATGGGATTCATGCTTAGTACTCGCCTATGTTTTTATATTCCATTTTACTGTTTTTAAATTACCACACAGAAAAATTGGCCTTTCCCCTTTGGTATTTAGCTGTATACGTTTTAACACATACATAGTTGTGGACAGCCTTCATAATTAGGATCCAGCACGTTCCCCTTCCCCCTCAAGATCTCTCTATTGTTATAATGACATCCTGGTCCCCATTCGTGCCCCTGACAAACACTGATTTATTCTCTATCATGATCGCGGTGTTATTTCAGGAATATTACATGGAATCGGATGGGCTGTATCCCTTTGAGGATGTCTTCTCTCAGTGGGAGAGGCCTGTCTGTTACTGGCTGTCCTAACAGCTCTCTCCTTCCTGCTCCTGAGCCATGTGCATTGCAGATACTCCACAGTTTGCTTCTCTCTCCCCCCACTGAAGGAGACTGGGGTGTCTGCAGCTTTTGGTTTTCACCCATAATGCTGCTACAAACGTTTGTGTTCAGGCTTTGGCCACACTGGCTTTATCCTACAAGAAAGATCAGAAGGGATCAGTGAAAACCCCCAGAGAAGAAAAGAAAATGTCCTTTAGAGCAGAGGTTTCTCCCCCTGAGAAGTGCCTGTCAAGATCTAGGTGTCACGAGGCCTGAAAGACAAGCTGTGAGAGGCAGCAGGCAGCAGGCCATGAGATGTCCCCTGAGCGTGAATACGGCAGCAGATGTTTCCTCACAGACAGTTCTGGAGCTGCCATCTTTGCCAGAAGGAGGTGCAGTGGCAGAGAGGTTTCAGGGGAGAGATGGGAGGGCGGGCTGGGGGAGAGGTGGGTGTATGGCAAAATGGGCCAGCACGTTAGAGAATTGCTGAAAATAGGTGAGTGTGTTTCTAGGATGTATAGTCCCCTCCTGTGCAGGCAGAGAAAGAAGCTGTATTTGTTTGTGACGAAAGCTGCCTCCCCTGTAGCCGTAGTCACACATGAAAGGAACGCAGGCTTGGCTCAAACCCGCATTTTCGCAGGAGCTGACCAAAGACCTCTTCATACGCTCCATTCTGGGCCTGATTTTGAGCCAAGGCTCCATGAACCGGTTTGGTTCCATAGACCTATTTGTTGAAGCATTTAATAGTAATCTTCCCAACCATGATTGATTCGGCCTGCTAGAGGGATGGGGATTAGATCAAGGAATTCAACCCCCGGGAAACTTCTGAGCAGATGAACTCTAGGGGAAGAAGGAAAGAAGGAGGGGGCCAGAGAGCTGAGGAGACTGCCAGAGGCCTCTCTCGGTCCCTCGTCCTGGCCCCGCTCTGTTGCATAGAAAGCTTTCAATCCGACACCAAACGTCAACACACCGCATTCCCTCAGTTGTGCGTTTGGCACAGTCAGTGGTCAGGGCACCTTGCCGTCAGCCCTGCTCTGGCCTTGGTGTCACCATTTCCACCTCCTCATTCTCTAACCAAGTTCTAGAGACCGAACCCAAAGGATGGCTTGCTTGATGGTAGCCTTCTTTGAGCAGGTGCCTACTTTTTCAGGTCACTTTGGGAGCCAGGCTGTCCAGTGGTCTGTTGTACCTGCTGATGCCTCAGGGGCCGCCTGGCCTGGCACCAGCAGACACTGGCGCGTGCTGGCACACCTGGCCACTCGGGTGCGGGCACCGTTGATTATGGCTTCATCTGGTTCAGCGCCTCCTGCTCCTTGGACTTGCTAGTGGACTGGACCCCAGTTACTTCGCGTTCGTTTCTGAGCTCAGTAACAGTGAGTCGTGTCCTCTTGGCTCAGCCTCGGAAGGAAAAAGACTTTGTTTGCATTATGAAGAGAGACATTCTTTCCAATATCAATAATCCCAAACTAGAAGTGTTAGGGAAGTGGTGTCGTGAAAAGATTGTTAGGAAAGTATTGTGTGTTTTTTTTTTTTTTCTCTTGGGGCAGTCGCCATGTTTACAATAATTTTGAAATGTATATGCAGGGTTCTTAGAAATGCAAAGGTAGTACCATATTTTCCGGCGTATAAGACGACTTTGGAAACGAAAAAAAGTCAACCAAACATCGGGGGTCGTCTTAAATGCCGAGTATATCCCGAAAAACGTCTGGATATGCCACTAAATGAATTTTCCAACTCGATCCCACACCAATCACTGCAAGGCTGCTCGGATCGCCTCTCTAACTCAGCCAATCCAAGCAGGCTTTTTATGCATGCGGATTATACATGTTCTGTACCCAAAGCTACACTGGGTTCTAGTAAAAAGCCTGCTCAGATTGACCAGAGTCAGAGAAGCGGTCTATTAAAAAAAAGAACTGGTGTTGCCTCGGAAGTGGGGGGTAGTCTTATACAGCGAATATATGCCTAAACCTATGTTTTAACTGTAAAATTAGGGGGTCGTCTTATACGCCAGAAAATACGGTAAAATAAATAGGGACTAAAGGTCTGTGTCTGAAACTGAAGGCCAGAATGACTTGTGTAGAAAGCATGAGTGTGTGAGGAGATGAGAATAGCACCTCTGAGAGAAGTTTGTCCTAGGCCAGTGGTCGGCAAACTCATTAGTCAACAGAGACAAATATCAACAGTACAATGATTGAAATTTCTTTTGAGAGCCAATTTTTTTAAACTTAAACTTCTTCTAATGCCACTTCTTCAAAGCAGACTCACACAGACCGTGGTATTTTGTGGAAAAGCCACACTCAAGGGGCCAAAGAGCCTAATGTGGCTCTCGAACCGCATTTGCCGACCAGGGTTGTAGACCTTCAGTAACTTCCCTCTAGGTCTTTATCTTCCTCATTCATAAGATAAAAGACTTGTAGTAAATCACCTCAACAGCCTTCCAGTTATTTTTTTCTAAATATTTATTTTTATTGTTAAGAGAGAGAGTGTGTTATTGATCGGCTTCCTCTTTCACGCCCCCTACTGGGGATGGATCCCACAACCTGGGCGTGTGCCCTGACAGGGAATTGAATCGTAACCTCCTGGTTCATGAGTCAAAGCTCAACCACTTAGCCACGCCAGGTAGGCTAAATAAAGGTCTTTACAGTGCTGAGCAGAGGGCTGGTCTGAGATCATCCTTCTTATAAGACAGGTAGAATTCAGAGAAGTCACCTGTTTCTTTCTTGGGTTATTTATATATTGATTTGTCTCTGGGTTGCTGCTTTGGAACTTTTCCTGTTTTCCTAAATTTCACAGACCAAGGGAAGGCCTATCAAATTGAAAGAAAAGAGAACTATTACATTGTTATCACTCCAGCTATTGGCAGATTGATTTTTAAAAAAATATATTTTTATTGATTTCAGAGAGGAAGAGACAGGGAGGGAGAGATAGAAACATCAATGATGAGAGAGAATCACTGATCGGCTGCCTTCTGTATACCCCCTACTGGGGAACAAGCCCACAACCCGGACATGTGCCCTTGACTAGATTTGAAACCAGGACACTTCAGTCCGTAGGCCGACACTCTATCCATTGAGCCAAACAAGCTAGAGCAATAGATTGATCTTAACAAGAGTTGCCGGTCACTGACTATGTTGGTTTTCTATTGCCATGTAACCAATTACCACAAACTTAGCAGCTTTCAACAGCACAGATTTATCACCTCACAGTTTCCATGGGATGGGGCCCAGCACTGCCTGCCTGGTCCTCTGCTCAGAGCCTAACAGGCTGCTGTCAAGGTGTTGACTGGGGCTGGAGTCCCAGCTGAGGGCTGGGGTCCTCCTCCAAGCTTTGTGGTTGTTGGCAGAGCTCATTTCCTTGCAGCTGTAGGACTCATGGTGGCTTGCTGCTGCTTTGGATCCAGCAGGATCATTCTCCAACACTGAGTCCAGGGAAGGCCTTAGCTCACTTTAAATGGCTCACCTGGTTAGCTCAGGCCCACCCAGGCTAACCTCTCCTTTGATGAACTCAAAATCAACTGACTTGGGACCTTCATGAGATCTGTAAAGTCCCGTCACCCTTGCCATGTAATGGAACCCAGTCATGGGAATGGTCTATCTACACTCAAGGAGCGGGGAGTACAGAGCACCTGACTAACCGGTGGGATCTTGGGGTTCATTCTGCTTATGCCACAGAACATTTTTCTCAGATGAACTTGTCATCTGTCTGGCTTTGCCCCCATCTATACTAATAAAAGCCTGTGTGGTTGTCATGCCATAACAATCCATCACCAAGAGGCTGCATGCGCAGTGGGCGCGCTCGGGTAGGTGGGGCTGTGAGCCAGCAAGGCGTGCGTGGGTGGGCAGGGACTTGACGCTGCGTGTGCAGCGTGGAGGCGGGTCCCGGCAGCTCTGTATGGAGCCGAGGGGGTGGGACCTCTTTGAGGCAACCCATTGAGGAACCCTGGCTGGGTGGGCGGGGTCTTCCACTTTGGGGAGATTGATCATGGGGCTCCCACACTAGGAGAGGGCACAGGCCAGTCTGGGAACAACCCTATCCCCACCCTGAGTGCATGAATTTTGTGCACCAGGTCTCTAGTAATGTTATAATCACAGCCACTGTCTACCATGTAAAACAATGCCCTGAGAGCCTTAAGGCATTCCCTAAGACATGTCTGTGTCCTGTTCTTTCTCCATCCAGACGTTGTCAGGATTGCCAGACCAAGATACCTTCTACGACGTGGTGGACTGCCTGGAGGAGCTGGGTATTGCGGCCGTGTCCCAGCGGCACTTGAACAAGAAGGGGACTGACCTGGACTTAGTGGAGCAGTTGAACATTTATGAGGTAACAGAACATGCCTTTTGTAAGGTATCTTCCAGCTTGGACAAATGTCAAAGGCCAATGTCAACATACCCTAGACCTGTGTTTCCGAGTGTGTTATAGCAGCACTTTTCTCAATGCAACTTCTCAGGCCCAGGCCCAGGCCTGCTGAGTCAGACACTCTGTGGGTGGGCCCAGCAGTCTGTCTGCATGAGCCTCCTGGTGACTGTGATGCACACTCCAGTGGGAGAAGCGCTGATCTAGCAGAAACTTGGAAACTTGCTTCCTTGCTTATTTACTTAATTATTACTATTTTAATGTAAAGAACATGCATCCTTCCAGCAATACTTTCATTCAGGCTGAGGGAGGGAGGGAGGGAAGGAGGGAGAGAGAGAGAGAGAGAGAGAGAGAGAGAGAGAGAGAGAGAGAGAGAGAGAGAGAGAGAGAGAGGGAGAGAGAGAGAGAGAGGGAGGGAGGGAGAGAGACATGCAAGACAGGCCATATTTCTTACATTTTGTAGGGGTGGAACTTCAGGTAGGGCCTACTACATAATTTATAGGGCAAAATAAAAATGAAGGGGGGGGGATACTGCTGTTAAAAATACTAAACATCTTTTTACTTTCTTCCCTGGTCCTTCTCACCTTGTTCTGGTGTCTTTTTAATCGCTATTAATGTCATTGTAAGGAAAAAAGTTAACGTTTTGAATTACCATCAGGAGTTTTACTGATACTGTGCACTACCAGTTGAAAATGCAGTTATAAGAGCATCTAGCCTGTGTGCAGAATCAGCAGAATGTGGAGTCTGTCCCTCTTACATGCGCAGGTATTTTGTTCTTCCTGGAACAGGGAAGAACTGTAAAAACTAGCTCAGCTATTTTTATTTCATTTCTTGGTATGTGTTCATTCTGTCAACACTCTATCTTCAGTTCACTAATGAGTAAGGAAGGCTAAAAGGAAAAGGAACTGCGGGCTATGGGCTGTCCTATCTCCTCATTTTTATTTTATTTTATATGTCATCATTTCAGCATAAGTGGTTGGCTCATATGGAAAAGTAACACTGTTGAGAAAGGGTAGGATAGAATCCTTGTGTTACCATCTCTCCTCTTTTATAGCTAGTCCTGGTTTTAATGGAATGCATGGCTTCTGGCTGTCAATGACTGCTTAGCCAGTCAGAGGTGCGGCACACTCACCTTGTACTCACTTGTAGTCTCACTGAATAGCCATGTATCAGGGTCTATCAGAACTCCATGCTCATGGGCCTGTTGAATGGCAGACATGCATAATGCATCTGCTTCCTCTAGCATGCACCTGCTCCATTGTCCTATTGGACTTCACTTACAAAACGTAAGTTTAAAGTTAAAAATAATAAGAATTTCAAGATGGTGAAAGCAGAGCCCTTGAAATCCTTCTAGTTATCACGTTAGCAAACTCCTACGTCTCCTGTGATAGTCACCTCAGGTGTCCTGCATCCATGGGGTTTCCTTGGCAAGGTAAAAGGGTTCCTGCTGCTTGTCCCTTTGTTTCTAACCCAGGGAAGAGCACTTCCTTATGTGTACACGCTGGACTGAACAGTCCTCAGGAGGTACCAGTACTTGCTTGTCTGTTTCCCTTTGAGCTACTCTACGTCAGATGTCTCATTCCTCTCTCTAGCTCCAGCACTCCTGCCCAGAGTAGAAGTTCAGGAAGTGCTCAGATGTCTCTTTTAATATCACATGTTTTATGACAAAGTGTTTGTCCGATGCTGGGTTAAAGGAAGGGCATGCTTTAACCAGAAAGCAGCTAACCTTAGAGGGAGGATGTCCTGAGTATTAACTCAACGTGACAACTGAGTGCTGTATATACCAGTCAAAGCCAAGATTTTTATTTTGTTTCAAAAGCTAATGCAGTTTAAAAAAATATTTATTGTCACAGGACAACTACATTCGGTATACACAGGGAAACAAGGGGACCGTAAGCAAAGCCAATATTTCCTCTATGAATGTTTGTAAGCAATTAAAGAAAACTTGGTTGGGCTTCTAGAATTTTCCTTAATAGTGGAGGATATCTGGTGACCATATGTCCTGGATGTTCTGCGGACAGGCCCAATTCCATGTAATTTAATTCCATTTCAGAAAGGTGATTTAATCAATGTTTCATTCATTTGAATTTTTATTGCTTCATATAATTTTACAAATACGTAAATTCACAAATCAAAATTAAAAAAATCGTTTGTCAGATTATGTGTTCTAACTTTCAATTCTTAAAATGCAGTCCTAGTAATGGGAAAAGCATCTTAAGGCTGGAGACTTTGGGGGTGAGGGATAAATGATACTTTTAGAAATGATTGACTAATAGGTTAAATTAATCTCTTAAGATCCTTCTTTGTCATAGGTGATAAAAATGTCTGTCAGTTAGCTCTTGGGCATAACAAATATGCCAAAAATTTCATAACCCAAAACAGCAAGTGTTGTTTATGATTCTGTGGGTCAGAAATTCAGACCTGGTCCAACTGAGAGATTCTCATGCAACTGCAGTCATCTAATGGCTGGACTGGGGCTAAGGGTCTATGGCCTGATGAACCTGGTTTGGCATTTGATGCTAGCTGTTGGCTAGACCAGGCTAGCCTACACCTCTTCTTATGATAGCAACATTTTAGAAGGACAAGTCCCAAAACACCAAAACCTTTCAAGCCTCTGTTTGCATTGCATTTGCTGATATCCCATTGGCCAAAGGAAGTCATGTGGATAATCCTGGACTCAGTGTAGGGGGGGTTACACAAGGGTAAGGGAAGTGCTATTCTCTGGGAGCCTAGCACTGTTATGGTCTGCCACAACCTGTCAGCAGCTTAGTTCCTTTTTATTTTTATTTTTCTTTTTATTGATTTCAGAGAAGAAGGGAGAGGGAGAGAAAGATTAAAAAAATCAATGATGAGAATCATTCATTGGCTGCCTCCTGCATGTCCCCTACTGGGGATCGAGCCTGCAAGCCCGGTGTGTGCCCTTGACCAGAATCACACCCAGGGACCCTTCATTCTGCAGGTTGATGCTCTGTCCAAAGCACTAGGACATTTAGTTCCTTTTTGAAATGGTTCCAGTACTGGAATCCTCTTCACCTAAAAGCTCAATCAAGTTTTGTGCATATGAATTAAAACAAAGGTATGGAATAGCAATATGAAAAAGGCTTGCACATGTTATATAAAAATGGCTGCCAGTCATGGATATTAATAGTAATGTAACCATATCAACTCATAGAAATTGCTAATAGCTTTTGGCCTTCATCTGGAATGTTGAGATTATTGGCTATTAGATGATATTAAGAAATAAATTTAAGAGAATAGTGGTTATGGTTTTTAGAAATCCTAATCTTTTGGTTATATATAAGGAAATATTTACAAATGATAGGATCTTGGATTTACCTCTGAAGAAAAACTGGCTGTGTGGAGTTGGGGCACACAGGGAATGGGGTGTAAATGAGACAAGATTGGCCAGGAGTTGAGCACATCACAATCTTTATACTCTTTAACGTACTTAGTGTGCTTTTGAACATTTCCACAAGAAGACATTAGAAAGAAAGCTCAGGTCATTCAGTAGCCTCAAGGGCTGGTGAGAGTTGTCGCAGATGCCACCTTGAACTGCTCCTATCTGCTTTCTCAGTGAGGCGGGGCAGAGTGTGCGAGCAGTCAGTGCTGGATTATGCAGTCTGCTTGCTCCTCATCTGGGTTTTAGTTTCCACATTTAATTAAAAGAGTGAGAAGGTATTTGACAAGAGGTCCAGCAAATGAGTCTCTGCATCATTTGGGTGAGAGTAAGGATCTTCCAGGACAGGGTTGCTTTCACCCACGGAGGACACATGCTGCACTTAGAATTAATTAGATTCCACACCACATCTCGTAGTGAGTTCTGTCCTCTCCAGGTGCTTTCCAGCTCTTAGGGTTCTGACTCTAATCTGTAGGGCTCCCTAGAACCGCAAGTATTTGGAACTGCCACTGTAGCCCTAATGTAAATGCGAAATCTCTCTTCCTGTTATCAGCAGACACTGTTGAATCTATAAATCACCTTGTAAAAACAAAACCATGAGCGAACGCCAGCGCCAATTTCATGTTCTGCTGTTCCTGATTGCCACGCCCAGGCTGTGCCCCTCCCATCCCTCCATGCACTCTTTTCTTGTTTTAAGAAAATGGATGTTTTGTTGAGGATCTGAACTTTGAGAGGTCCCCACTGAATTCCACTTTATGGTGTTGCTTTGATAATTTTTCCAGAATTTTTTTTTCCATTTAAATTCTCCAATTGTCTCTGCCTTCCTTGACAAAAGACAGTTGAACTGAGCTTCACTTCATTCACACAGGGAACTGGGAGCAGAATGCTATTTGATCTTTGGATCTCTGAGGTTAGAAAGGAATTAGAACTATCTGATCTCTATTTTAGCCCCTAATCTTATTATTCCAAATGTGTGCTTAATCAGAAGCAGAATCAATACCCAGGTCAGATTAAGTTCAAAAGGTCTGGAATTTTTATCTCAAAATGAAGAAAAAGTAATTGACAGGAACTATTTAAAAACACTGTCCTTGGTTTGATACATAATCATCTTAAAACTTTCCCCAGAGAATGCCAGTTAGAGTGTTAAAGTTGAGATGATAAATGTGATTAACCAAATGCATCATTTCTCAGTTCTTCCAGTTAAACCGGACAGGGGACCCTTAGGAAACAACTTTCCAATGAGATTTTATAACAGAGCTTTTTCTAAACTCATATCAATTTTTACCTCAACACCCCCCCCCAAAAAAAAAAATATGATGTGTGGTTAGTAAATTCAGAGGCACAAAAAGTCAAAATACTATTAAATTGCCTTTATATATCTGAAAGTTTGTTATAAAATATGTCTGGCACAGAGACAAGAGTTTTCACTAAATCTGCCTTCTTTAGACACTGAGCTGGAGGAAATGGAGATGGGGCCGATTAAGGGTGGGTGCTCTCCTGTGAACAATCATGTCTCAGGCGCTCATTCCTCAGAACCAGCATGGCCAACCTGGCCTTGACTCGGCCAAGCTCACCTTGTTTGATGTGTGTGGTTGTCACAGGGGATCACTGATTTTGCAGGAGCCAGATTTTCTGAGAATGCGTGATACAAACCATGTGGTGTGACTACCTCTTTGTCTTTATATTACTTCTCCATTCTCATATCGGGACCAAGTTGTGAAATGTGACTGAGAATACCCAAGAGCCAGATCAGTTGCATCTTTGGGGACTTGAGACTTTGGGACTCTGTGGTTGACAAGTCAGAGAGACTGCTGGACTTGGTGGAGCTGGCTTACCTGGGCTTGGAAGTGGCTGATCCACCAGTTCTGTATGATGGAGGAACTTGTGGATATCCCAGGCCCCTTAATCTGAGGACATAGGTTGGGGGAGGATGGTCATATTTAGTGAGTACCAGCCACAGGGAACACCCTACTCTAGCAGCTTTACATAAATTACCCTTAGGTAAGTTATTCCTACTACAAACCTGCCAATGCAATACTATTTTCCTCATTTGGTGAGCTAGAGAGAGAGCAGGCCATTTACTACAGGTCACACCTGTTTGTTAATGGCAGAGCCATCTTGTGTGTACACAGAAGCCTAGTCAGTGACAGCTTGGGCCCTTCTGACTGTCCCCTTTTAGAGAATGTAGGCATAAACAATGAAAGAAACTGGAGATACAGATGGATCTCCAGGTGGCTCAGCTGGTTGGAGCAACATCCTGTATACCAAAAGGTTGCGGGTTCTGTTTCTGGTCAGGGCACATACTAGGTTACAGGTTCTATCCCCGGTGAGGCAAACTATCAATGTTTTCCTCTCTCATATTGATGTATGTCTCTCTCTCTCTCAACATGTCCTCAGGTGAGGTTTAAAAATGATCTGTGGGTGAGGTTATTCCCCTCACCTGGCCGCTGTGGCTCCCGCCTCTGCAGAATCCTTACTGTGCTCTTCTTAGCTCCCTCATTGGGAAAGCAAGCTCAGGAACCATTAGGAACCACTGGGCTTCAGAGGGGCCTCCACCTCCTGGGCCCGAGAAATGGCAAAGCTGGGCTCCAGGGTAAAGATGCCATCTGATTACAGAACATTTCTCAGATCTGCTCAGGACATTATTTGCCCTTTTCGTATCCATTTGGTTGGATAAATGCACTGTGGCAGGCGTCTCTCACTTTGCAGACTGGACTTTGGGTTGGTGTGGCTGTGGGACCCTTGCAAAGTGGAGCTGCAGATTGGGGAGAGACTGTTACCTTCTCATTGGGATGAGCCTGAGGTGCACAGCCCACTTACCAGGAGCTCTGAAAGGATGTCAGGTCTGACCTTCACTGGGCGTCCTCTGCTTTTGCAGGTGGCATTGCGGCAGGAGGATGGTGATGAGACTGCTGAGCCGCCCCCCAGTGGGCGTCGGGAACGGAGGAGGGCCAGTCTGTGTTCCGCGGGCAGCGTGGGCGAGCAGCGGGGCCTGGACCGCAGGCGCAGTCGCAGGCACTCAGTGCAGAGCGTCAGGGGTCCCCTCTCGGCCCCAACCAGTCCCTGCTCCCAGACAGCTCCAAGCTTCAAGCCCAGTCAAGTGTGGGATCTTCGTGAAAAGTAAGTATTCAGTTGGAGAAAGGCGCAAAGATACAAGGTAGGGAGGCCCCAACTCCCCACCCCCCCAAGTGCCTACCACCCTCACCCTCTTACTCCCCTGCTTCTTCTCCACCATTAAAATACCAGTTATTCCCCCTGGACTACCCAGGGCAAGGTGCCCCCTGGTGACAAGCACAGGATTGTTCTTATAACCCCATGAACTCTTCTTCACCCCCTTGTATTTTTATATCATTTAATATCAAAGTTAACATCTGCTTTTAAAAGCTGTGCTTTATCTAATGAAAAAGAATCCAAAACACGAAGCTTTGGCCTGGGAATAAATGGTAGGCCACCACATCAATGTGAGAGTCTTGAAATACTCATGACAGTACATAGTTGAGGCTAAGTTAAATAGCACAAATCTGTGTGAGTTTTAATTTATTCGTGCATAAGTATAAAATATATAATTGTGTATACACTTAAAGTTTCGGTAAATACAAATGCCATCACTTAGTCATATAGCAAGCATTTTTATTAAGTGTCTATTTTAGGCCAGGACTATTTGAAGCCAAGAAGAGATGTGATTGAAAAGAGGTGATCTCTGTCCATAGGAACTTCACATCTGGGCTGGGAGAAAGTAAGAATGAGGAAAGTCAATAGGAAGAGATGGATAGACTGACAATTTCATGAGGAATTGCACATATTAAAAATATAAAGTTTGACAAAAGCTAAGGGAATGCAGAAGTGGTTCCACAAAACACAGATGCAGCAAAAGGATGGCCATGCTGCCCTGGGGCCTGAGGCCAGTTCTGTCTTCCTGTTGCTGTCAGTTTACTAGGACGATGGGGCTCTATGGACCAGTCCATATCGGCCTGGTCCACTGGGCTGATACACCAATGCCAGTGCCCCTCTTCTTGCTGCCCAGGGTGGAAGCCCTGCTCATTTCATTGGATGGAGCTTTTCCCCCATCATGAGGATCCACCTGGAGCCAAAAATAGGTCAGGAGGCTGCATGGTGGACAAGAACAAAACTCAGAATAAGTTGGGTGACCCTAAGAGAGTGATCAAGATATATCTCTTCCTCTCCGTGCCCTTAGTGGCCTGATATTCACAGAATCACTAACAGATGAGCCAGCCCATGCCTTTGGTGCTTCCTATTGCAGGTGGAGGAGGGCATTGGTCTGGGAGTGGTGTGCAAGGCACTGTCCATGTTGACACCCTTCTCTACCACACAGGCCTCTAGCTCCAGGTTTTCCTGTTTCTGAGAGTCTGTGTACAGCAAGCTCTATTTTAGTGAAAAGAACACCAGAACTTCTAAACAGATTGATGAAAAACATCATCTACTGTGGACATTGCACTTTGTGATTAAGATCTTCAAGAAACTCAGGCAATGTTCAAAAGCCCTTGAAGCTCTCTCTAGCACTGCTTCTCGTTAACTCTTGAAAAATCAACATGGAGAGAATTGAGGAAAGTGTATACATGGGCTGAAATTAAATCCACCAAAGATGCTGAAGGTCAGAGGTAGGAGACTTTGTCAGCAGCACTTAGTGATCTTTTACTTGTGTAAACATGACTTGTGTCATGTTTGTTCCTGTTCTGTTTCTTGCTGTTAACACTTTTCAGAGGTCCCTATGTTGTTAGTTCAGGCAACAGTGCCCTGTGATAGGTAACAGCAGGGAGTGGACCATCCTGGGCAGCGATCCCAGTTTCGAGGCGCTGGGCTGGGTGGGATCTGGAACAGGGAGGCCACAGACGTTGCTCTGAGTGCTGCTGTTTCAGTCTTTTTGACAGGGATGCTCTTTCACGTTACAGAAATGATTACTTTTATGTACATTTTGTAGCATTTATTTGAGAAAATTACCTTTCTAGCTTGTAAAGGCAGATAAGGTTTTACATGTCGATGATTACCATGTGGCTTCATCCATAAGGCCTGTTGGAGGGATTTTGCTTCATGGCCCCAAAGCAACAGCACGATTTTGGCAGCTGGGTGTGGGATAGAGGGAAAGGGTGGCGAGAAGCAGAGTTGGAAAGGATCTCCGCATGCATAGCTTAGTCACCTGCTCGACATCTGTGCCTCTAAACATTACCTTGGTACTAAGTAATCCATTGTGTTAGGTTCCCTGTAGACCTTGGACAGCACAGAAGCATGCCTGACCTAGATTACTCTCCATCTACCTGAAGGTTCTGGCCCGGCGAACTGCTAACTTGTAGCAACATGCCCGCATACGCCACCCAGGAGGAATCTCAGGCAGGATTTTATATCTCTGTAACTCAGCCAGCGCTGACATTTTTGAAAAGAAGATAAAAATGTTAGAGTCTTAAAAAGAGATTCATGATGTCCTAAAATGTATATGGCCACCTGCCCTCAGATGGCTCTTCTGCATCATGTGACCGTTACATCATTTAACTCTCACAAGGATCCAGAAAGGACAGGTGTCATCCTCACTCTACAAGTGAAAAAGCAAATCGGGGTTGGTGCCTTGAGACGAATCACAGGACTAGGTGGCTGAGCCATGGATTACATTCACGCTGTGGGTCTTGGCCTTTCAGTGACTGACTTGGACAAAAACCACTTCCCAACCATTCCTAAACATAGTCATTGAGTGAGATGTACACTTCTGACTTTTTAGAGAGGGCATTTGATTTATATATCATACTGGTCTGTTCCTATTGAGGATAAACATAAAACTTCACAGAGAGTTTAAAAGGAGAAAATCTGCAAGTCTCCTTATAGACTTAGGCCTATGAGGCTATGTGTGCTTTAATCCAAAGGACTGACACGACTCAAAATTCATATCGCTTTGCTTTGGTTTCTGAAGTAATTAGAGACTCAACCTCACCAAACACTTCCCAAATAAGATATTAGTTTATTGGTCATCTGTCACCTAAAAGTGTCTTCGTGATTGTGTTTCATCTTTGTACTTAAATTTGGGGAGAAAAAAAATGTTGGTACTTTTCATTCCCCCCACCCCCAAGAAAATTTATTTGTAGCATCTAATTAGTAAAAGAACCAGAGTCTCTGGTTGGAACATAATAGTATGTAATCATAGGACTAACAGGTCTTCAAGGTTGTCTGCCCCTGAGCGGAGCCCTCTCTGTGCAGTACAGACTCAGGCTCTCTCCTTCCCGGGTCATCCTGTTCTATCTGCGATTTTTCTGCTTGGTAGGACAGTTATCTGACCTCAATTTGCTCCATGATGTTATAGCTCTATTACTGCTTAGCCTTCCATTATATATGGATACAATTTCCCCGTAACATTTTCCTATTCATCCTGGTTCTCCCCTCTGTCAGCAAACACCAGGTCTTGGTCCTACTCTATATGTCAGTCTTTCTGATCACGAGCATTGCCTGGGACTTAGTAGATGCACTTTCCATTTCATCCTGTTGATTTCCACAGAACATTCCAACCCCTAGAGGTAATGTCGAACTTCGTTCAGTCACTGATGTTAGTAGTTGTGCCATCCAGCTGTCAGTCTTGTGTGTATGTTAATACACATGGCACAGAAACCTGGCAGGTTATAGATGATGGCAGCTGGATTGGGAGGGGATGGTACAGACTACTGCCACATGCCTCAACGGCAAGGGTCGCATACTCCCTCTGTCAAGGGGCAGACGGTAAATATGTTAGACTTTGCAGGCCAAGCGCTATGGGTTGCGACTACTCAACTGAATCCTGCCTTTGTAAAAGCAGCTGCCGTCAACCAGTAAGCAAGTGAGCATGACTGCATTCTAGTGAAACTTTATTTATGGGCACTGAGATTGGAACGTTGCATGTCATGAAATATTCTTTTAAATCCCCCCCCCCCCCAACCATTTCAAAATGTGAAAAGCATTCTTAGCTGTTAGACTGTATAAAAGCAGGTGGTAGGCCAGATTGAGCCTACAGTGTAGCTTGCCATCCCCTGTCCTGAGGGGCTGGGTTGTTGAGGGAAATGGCCTGGAATTGGCAAAGAGGAGTAAGTGGGCTCTGAGAGAAGAACCCACCGTGCTATGGAGAGGTCTGTAGAGAACAGCATATCCTTAAGTTCAGGGTTAGAACAAGGAGTGAATAGATCCTGGCTGTAGGGGATTTGGCTGGTGGTTGCTCATGAGATCCCACAGCACAGTGGAATATTGAGGTAGTTACTATTATCTCCATGTCACTGGAGGAGAAACTGAGGCACGGGGAGTTGAAGTGTCTTGTCCAGAGTCCCACAGCTAATATAGGGTGCAGCTGGCTTTAGAGTTCAGGAGGTCTGTCTTCATAGTTCCCATCCGTCACAATTTTATTAAACAATCCCTCTTTCCCCCTGTGAATCTGTAGGTATAAAACAAATATACTGTGTACTTGGCATTAGTAATTCATAAATGTATGTCGCCATCTTTTTATATTATTAAGTTTAGATTTTTCATGTCAGTACATTAAAAAAAAAAGCATTGCTTCGTGTTCCAATGTATGGGAATACCTTCATTCATTTTGCTATGGCTTGATTCCTGTTTTTCTGTAGTACCAAACTTGTGACACACACACACACACACACGTTTGTGAACATGTTAGCATTCTTTCAGAAGAGATTTTTACAAGAGGAATTCTAGATGAAGGATACAGACATTTTAAATATTGAAATCACCATATTGCTCTCTGTAATGGTCAATCCAGTTTGCTGTCCCACCATCCACATGTGGCCATTCCCCACTCCATCACCAGCACTGGGTGGCACAAGTTTTCAGAAGTTTTGTGATTCTGAAAAGTACAATGTGCCTCAGCATTGCCATTTGCATTTTTGATTGCTGCTGAGGTTGTTCATCTTCAATTAGTTCATCAGCTATTGGCCTTTTCTGAGTAGTGCCTGCTTGTTTCTCTGGTCCTCTGTCTTCTGCATGGTGTGTCCTTTTAAATTAATGAATAGCTACTCTTTGTTTTTAATTCAGAAACTTTCAGATATAAAAACAGAAAGGACATAAGTATTCTGTTGTATATTATAGGTAGTAACTGTTTGACAGCTGTTTTCTCCCTGTCTTTCAAATATCTTTTAATTTAA